ACTTTTCTTTTTGGGGAGACTCTTGATTGCTGCTTCAATTTCATTTTGTGTTATAGATCTATTCAGGTGATTAATTTCCTCTTGGTTCAGTTTTGGATGATCATATGTGTCTAGAAATCTACCCATTTCTTTAAGATCAAACCACATTCTTGTTAGTGTTGCTTTTCTTTCTTTCTAGGCTCTTTGTTTATTTTTCTTTATGTGGTTCCAGTGAGCCAATACGCTCTTACAAGTCAGGTTCATGTGATTATTCAGTCCTATCACAGAACTATAAAACTACATCTCTCCTCCAAAATCCTTTGGAAATAAGTATTAAATTCTGCTTCTGACAAATCTAAGGTTGTTTCATTAAATGTTATTAGGCAGGAAACAGAAATTCATAATGAGTCAAAGTCTGGAACTATACAGAAAACAGACATGATGTGGCTGAGGCTTTGCTACTAACATTGCACCAGGATCTCTCTTCAGTCATTGCCTTTTTCTGCATGTAGAATTTGTTTTGTTTTCCTGGATCTATGTTACACACTTATTTTCTCAAAGTCATCCCAAAACCGAAGCATATTTTCCTGTCTAATCTGAAGTTCTTCTCCCTTCTACAATGATTAGTTGACCCATTTGTTGCCTGAAAACCTATCCGTACCTCCAGAACAACCCACTTAGATCATTAGATGCTAGGGCCAGAGGTGGTGGCACACACCTATAATCCTAGCTACTCAGAAGGGAGGGGATAGCGAGGATCACAGCCCAGCCAGGCAAAAAGTGGCAGATCCCATCTCAACAAACAAGTTGGGCATGGTGACACATGCTGGTGATCCCAGTTATGCAGGAGACATAGGCAGGAGGATCTAAGTCCAGGCCAGCCCCAAGCAAAAAGTGATACCCTATATGAGAAATAACTGAAAGCAAAAAAGGACTGACTATGTGGCTCAAGTGGTACAGTGCCTGCATAAGCAAAGCAGGGACTGACCTGGGTTGATTAGTATATATAAATTATCTTTCACGGCCTCTAATTACCTTAGTTCTTTGACAAAAGATTTTCCCTCTTAAAATCTATACCTAAAATGTAATTTTCTATCTTTGGATCTCTTGTTTGAAAAAAAAAAGGGGCAGAGGAACAATTCAATAATGCGAGAAGAGCTCACAAAGTCACCCACATAAGTACTTCAAGTAAGAACCGCAGACTTGTCCTTATCTCCAATTTCCTCCTCTCTAGCTACATGCAATTTGTCTCTCATTCTGAAATAACCTGCAAAATGTCCCTCTCTTCTCATGCTGGCTTACTTCAGAAATTTTCATCTTTCTTCTACCATTGTTTAAAGCCTTTTAACAGAACTTTTAGTTCAAGGTGGGTGTTGTGATAGGTTAACCCCAGCTGAGGCAGAGGATCATGAATTTGAGACCAGCCTGGGCTATATAAAAAAAGACTGTCTCAAAAACAAAACAAAGAAACAAACCAGCCTCCTTTCTCCAATCCTCCAATCTGCCATCAAATTGCCCCTATAATAAACACAGCCATGCTCTCTTTCTCTTAAATCTCACCAACAGTTCACCATGGGCTAAGGACATGAAGTCCACACAGTTCTCCAAAATTTGATTCCATGGGCTGGAGGCATGGGTCAAGTGGTAGAGGGCCTGCCCAGCAAGCACAAAGCCCTGGGTTCAAACTCCAGTACCACAAAAAAAAATAATAATAATTTTTTTTCATCCCTAATCTATTTCCACATTCCTCTCAGTCTCTCAGTCTCATCTTCAGAGGGAGAGGGGGAGGAAGAAAGGAAGTGAGGGTAGAGGGTGGGTAGAAGGAAGCACAAGCAAACATTCACCTGACATTCCTAGAACACACCATGTAGTCTTTCATACCTCCCATCTTACACATGCTCTTCCTTGAACCTAAAATTCATTTACTCTTTCTCCAAAACCTGTTAGTAGCTACGGGCTGTAGCTCAGTGGCAGAGCACTTGCCTGTAACAAGGCACTGGATTCAATTCCTGACATCAAAAAAGTTTTTTAGAAAAAGTTACATAGTTTTTGTTGCTTTGTGCTATAATTTTACTGCCTCTCTTTCTCACTAAAATGATCACTTGAAGAAATACATTCTTTTGTTTATGTTTATAATTTTAGAGATCATTAAAATCCTGAACACTTAGAAACTAAACGAATGGGCCCAGACTGTCACCTTAACACATTTTTAAGCAATAATTTAATCACTAAAGACTACTGACCCAACATATAAATTCTCCATCTAGTTTTGTAGGGAAACTTAAATTTATATCTTTGAGCTACTGTTAGAGTCTTATGACCACAACCACCTTAATTTCCTAAGGTTCAACCTGGTCAGTCATATTGTTTGTTGGCTTTAAATGGCAGCTTTTTTGGGGTGTGGGGGGAAAACTAGGGTTTGAACCCAGAGTCTTGCGCTTAGTAGGCAGGTGCTCTGCCACTTGCGCCATGCCTCAAAGTCCCGACAGCTTGCTTTCTTGTACTGAGAAAGATAAAGTCCACATTTCCTCCTTGGCTCCCAAAGCCCATCTCAGTTTCTTTAACATAGCACGTTCTCTATCATGGGTCACTCCTCAACCTTTCTCCACACCACTCTTCAACCTCTCTTCTCTGATTCCCTCCACCCATCTCCCTTGTCAATTCATGCTTCATTTTGAGAAATACTGCAAATATATCCTGACTCTCTGATCGTCCCAGCTAGAAGCACATACTCTATTCTCTGCACTTTAGTCATATTCTGTTCCTTTCCTTTAGTGTTTAATCTTACAATGCCTTGTTTTAGATTAGACCAATGGTTCTCAATCCTGGTTGCTCCTTAGCTTTTTAAAAATATTAATAAGTACACCCCACCACAGAACAACTAGTTAAATCAGAAACCCTGAAAGTATAATGTAAGCATTAGTATATTGTTAAAACTCCCTGTGTGATTGTAATGTGAAGATAAGGGTAAGAAGTCACTGATGTACTTCCTGTCTGCCCTAATGATAAGTGTCTTGAATTATCTTCATAATCATATTACCAAAAACACAGTAATACGTTCAGTAAATGTGAGAAGAGGAAAAGGTAGAGAAAGGAAAAAAAAGATGGCTTCATACTATTTAAAAAGTAAATAATTAAACTAAAGGAAGCTTTGTTCCTCTAAATTCCTAGAAGGAATCTAAATTTGAAACATTTTCATCATCCCATAAAAAAACCCCATTATCTATTAGCAATTGTCCCCACCCTCCTCTTTCCCTGCCCGAGGCAACCACTAATCTACTTCCTGTGCCTATATATTTGCCTATTCTAGACAGTTTATTCAAATGGGGTCATGTGAGGCCCTCTGGGTCTGGCTTCTTTCACTTAGCATAGTACTTTTCATTTCACTTCTTTATCTTGTCAATATTCCATTATATGCATACACCACACCTCTTCCAACCAAATAAATTATTATGCCATTCTTCAAAGTCACCTTCATAAAGCATTTTCTGATCATCCAGGTCAAGATCTTTCTCTTTACAAATTGTAATCATTTTATGCCTTTTTTCTAATACATATCACATACTAATATATGCTAACACAACTACAATCTTTCTTCCTACTTTGTAACCTACTTAAGAGCAAGAACAGTGTCAGGTATTTCTGAAATCTAAGCAGCATAAATGTTGAACAAACAGATGGATAATGTAATAGATTTGGTTGAAAGCAAACCTCTAGAAGGATATGAACACAGCATAGCCAGTTTCAATGAAGAATGTGAGAAGGAAGTAAAAACATGGGACACTGGTGGACGAAGCACAAGCCCAGGGAGAACACAGATGAGAGAGATCACTGGCAGCTGGTAACAAAGAAGTAAGCAGGCTGATAATGGCTACAGAGCACCTGCCATGTACAAGACAAAAATACCAGAACTTTATCCCATTTACTATTTTCAGCAACCTATGAGGTAAGTAGTATTAGCATGATTTTACTGAAAAAGGAAGCTTAAAGAAAGTAGCAAACATGTTTAACTACAAAAGACATATGTCTTCTAACCTGCCACAGTGCTACCTCACTTTCATAACTGTTCTTGGGATTGCTCCCAAGAACAGTTTTTAATGTTTTTAATTTAAAAACATACAAGTAAATAGATGACTGATTATATCTTGAAATATACTCAATTTACTCACACTGTCAATAAATTCTACAATTGAAACTTATTAAAATGGATACTTAATCACTGCTTCTTATAAAGAGATAGCCACAAAAGTTTCCTCATTTTGCACCCATCAAGTGAGCATTTTTTAAGGAAATTTTTAATGTTTAAATATAAGTAAAAGAAGCAAAATGTTTCAAAATTTACTAATCTAAGCAACCTCCTCTGTTCATCTTAAGGCTGACTCAAAATTTTTCCTGAAACTGAGAGAAGCATTTAAAATGCAACTGAAGACAAATATCAGAAAATAACTTAATTCAGTATCATTTCCACTAGTAAGAATACTATTTTTCATAGTATCTGTAATTATCAGGAGCTACTTAAGAGGATTTTTACATTTCTCTCTCAGTACAGTTTATCATGAAATTTTCAACATTGTATTCAATGACAATGATAATTGGTTAGTAACTGAAATAAGGTTTTAGTGATACTATAGAGGGAGGAAATCTGTTATAAGTATTTAATAACAATTACAAATAGGAAAAAAGTTTAATTCAAAAACCTATCTTTCTATTTAAAATAAATAAAAACCTCTGTGTTACAAAACAAATGCACAAGCACAAGCAGGGGTGGCATATCATCTATGCAATCAAAAAGTGTCCCCAAATCTGTCTCTTGAAGCAAAAAAGTTGTAGCAGGCAAAAGAGCTCCTCAAGGAATTATTTCTTACTTTTCAGAGCTAACGTTAATGACAACAAATATTTTAAAATAACTTTTACCAATTGTAATTTCTATATTAAAAGGTTTATTTTTTTTTAAATGATGCTAAATCTTTGAAGTTATAGTGAACGGAGCTATTTCTGCCTGCCTACACTTGAGAACTCACCACATGTTCAACACTTTCTGGCAGCTATACACACACAAAAAAAAAAAATACAAGGAAAAAAGAGAGAAATCATCAGAAACAGCATACTATGAAATGATCATTGTTTTCCATGCTTAATTTTTCCAAGCAGCATTACTGTAAATTACATTTTAAAATTAATAAAGCATGCAATATGCTATAAAATTATTTTTTATGCTTATAAAAAGGATCAATAGTACAGCAATAACTTTCATGCAACACTCCTAAATATAAAAAACTAAAATTATGCTATTAATTTTAAATGAGAATTTGAGCACAGTTCTTAAATAACTAGTTTTGTATTATTAAAATATTTATTGGAACAGCACTATTTTAAACTTAGTGATAAAAATAATTAAGTATACCACTTGTTTTGCATGCACCTATTCCCTGAAAAAAAAAATTCTGAAATAATTGCAATTATAAATCCCAAGCATGCAGTAAAAATCAAAAAGTTACTAAAACAAGCAAAATGAATACATACTTGGTTTCATCCATCACTTCTACTTCTGTAGGGGCTGTGATGGGTGCATTTGAACGCCCTGCAGTAGGGTCATCTGTGTTTAACTCTCCATTTGTAGAACTTACAACCTGTTAAGGAAAAAAAGATAAATATACATACACGCATAAATATACATACACACAAAGCATTTAAATTAGAAAGTCAATATAAGGAATATAAAACATTTAGTAGGTAAATGTTCATAATTGAAAACAGTAATAAGTCTAGCATCTTATTAAAGATCAAAGTTATCTGATATCTGCTTTTCTACTTACTTCCTTTCCATCTTGAAATCTTTCTGTCTTCTATCTCCTTTCTGATTTTGAAAGCTAACTTCTACACTGAGGTCTCAATCAGTTCTCATCTTCTTTGGAGCATTAATATGCAACTACTACTACTTCCCTTGAAAACTTTAACATTGCTCCTTCTAATAGGTTCTTCAGTCTACAGTCATACTCAGGTTTCCACCTCATAGTGCCCATTTAAACAAAAGGCCAAGCCATTCATTCACCCAGTTGTTCAAGCCCCACATGAAGGAATCACTTTGACTTTGTCTTAAACCCCACATCTACTCCATGAATGGGTCCTGTTAAGTCCTCCCGAGACATCTGCCATACCTAATCAGTTCTCACACCTCTAGCACTACTAGGATTCCAGTCAAAACCACCATGATCTCTTAATGCAAATAACAGTAAAAACCTATTAACTGGTGTTCTGATAAAACATTATTCACACAGCAGCCAGAGTGTTTCTTTAAAGATGGAAATCAGACAGTGTAATTCCCTGCTTAAAACCCTCCAACTGTTGGCTTCTCATTCACTTAGAATAAAAATCTATTCCCCTCACCCCAACTGACAAAGTCCCACATAACTTGATACCTGCCTACCTCTCTAATCTCATACCAACATTCCCTGAGCTCACCAGCCTCTATCCACTATGTCAAGATTCTTCCCATAAGTCCTTAGCATTATCTATTATCACTACCTAGACTTCTCTTCCCACTTATTAGCTGTCTTCTTATTCCTCAGATTCTCAGAGAGCATCTGTAAGCCAGGCTTTTCCTATCATACAACCTAAAATTTCCATGCAAATACATTCTTTCATGTTACACCCTATTTTCATTTTGTATAGTAATTGTTAATGTTGACACTCTATCTCCATTAATACTAAGTCTTATAACATCAGGAGCCAAAAAATGTCTTGTTCTCTTCTATAGCTGGTACAGAACAGGCACTCTAAATACTTGTCAAAACAAATGTATGTATGTATGAATGAATGAAATCTTTAAAACAAACAGAAGATTATAACAAGTTTCCTGAATTTTCTAAATTCTCTTGGTCCTCCCAATTCACTTGTTATTCTATTTCTTGCTTTCCTCTTAACACTAAACTTGAAAAAAATAACTCATCCCTTTTATTTTTATAGTTTTCCATTCATTTATTCCTTAATTCTTTGTAATCAGTTCTATGTCTCTACTTCAGAACTTTAAATTAACCCTTTCTTGAAGATTACCAATGAATCCTACAAAATGTATTCTGTGAGCTTTGTTCATTCCACATTTTCCTAAACATTTCAGTACCACTTGGTACCAGTTGCTTACTGGCGATTAACATGGGTCTAGACTCAAAACTAGTTATACCACTTACCAGATATGTAACACTGAGAAAGATATTCTATCTTGCTACACTAAACTTCAGTGTCCTCAACCATGAAATAGGAAACAGCAGAAATCTCCTTATCGTGGCTGCTGTGAGAATGAAGTGAGATCAATGCAGTATGTAGCACAGTGACTGGCATAGAGTGAGAGATAACAAATGGTGGTCATCATTCCTACTACCTACTACTGGTATCATCTGTGACTGTGGCTTCAATTATCACCTTTCTGTAAAGCTTAACCACTCATCCACACCTTCAGTTAGCTGAACCAAGTTTGGCTCACATATTTCCAAAACTAAATTTCCAAAACTTCCTCCTTCTTAAATCCAATACTTTTCCTATGGTTCCAATTTCAGCCAAAGCTCTACTACTAGACTTCAAGCTCAAAATCTAAGAATAATCTTTGATGCCTTCTTATCCTTTTTCTAATCTGTTTATAAGGAAAAAAAAATACAAATACCAAAGGCATGACACCAGAATGGACAGCTGACTACTAGACTTAAGGGTATTATTTATAAAGCTTCCTATTTCTAAAACTGAATTCAAAAGTTTTAAGTGAGAGTTCATAATATGCCATAACTGTTCTAGTTACTTGGAATACTAGGAATACTACAGTAAACAATGCAAGCACCCCTTCCTTTGTGGATTTGATATTTTAGTGTGGAGAAATAGACTACTCTCCTAAATCCCAAGGAAAGTAACTAAAAATCAATCAACATATTTGGGCAAATTCCAGAATTATGGAAATTCAGTTCCCTCTATCCTATGTGGAATAAGTACTTAGAAATGAACACTGTATTTGCTTTTGTGACTATAGCTACAGACAAGCAAAACTGCCTTATTCTTCTTTGGAGGCAATCCAAGGAACACAAGGACTGTAATACTAAGTCTGCCTCTATTTCTGGGGTCCCTGCTTCCCCCTTTCTGTTATCCTATCAAGCTCTGTGTCAATTTTTCTCTCTTTGTAAGAATATTTTTAAATAATTATTTTCTAATTATTGAATATAATTTGGTTCTTTATTACTAATTTAACATTTTAATTTTAAAATGTCTGAGACCCTGCCTTGAATGATGGAAAAGAATTAAGCAGCAAAATTCTGATGCACATGTATTCACAGCTTTTAACTAGCAGAGTGCCCTGAACATACTCACAAATCAAAGCAGCTCACTGGACAATTTCCATCACTCTTTCCTCAATGTAATATCCAACAGTTTCCTTTTTCTCCCTTTTATTCACTCACCCTAGATAGCTGAGGAGATGCTACTTCATATTACAGGCAAGTCCTCTAAAAGGGCTTTCCTTACTTCAAGAACCATAACTGAAAACTTCAAATCCAGGTATTTCAAATTCCAACAAGATAACTATACATACACTATGCTTACATAATCTGATTTACTTCAGTTCATACTTAACTTTGATACACAGTATTTTATTGAAATGTTTCAAATCCTTATCAGAACCAGGCCAGAAGGAAGTAACATCTTTATGTAATTTGTCCAGGGTTTCCCAAATTCTCTCTCTGAATAGAGGCCAATATCCCAAGGGTCAGAACAGCATGTAATAGCAGTAAGATGTGATGCTGCAGTTGTTCTCCATAAACTCATACTTAGCATAAGGACTTAAGAGAAACACTATGGTCTTAAAACTGCTTTCATTTAAAACTACTGGTCTTTTGGCAAAGATATTCACAAAGGGGAAACAAAGATAATAATGTGTCAGTGTAGTCCTAAAAGCCTAAATTAGTCAACATAGGAAATATATACTTTTTGTTTGGTGGTACTAAAATTTGAACACAGGGCTTAGTACTTGCTAGGCAGGCACTCTATCACTTGAGCCACACTTCTAGCCCCTTTTTGTCTAGTTATTTTGGGACACTTTTTGCCCAGGCCAGCCTCACTTCCCACCATGGCTGGGATGACAGGTGTGCACCACCAATCCAGCTTTGATTGAGATGGTTTCTCATAAACTATTTGTCTGGGTTGGTCTTGAACCATCATCCTTCTGATCTCAGCCTCCTAAATAGTGAGGATTACAGGTAAGAGCTACTGGTTCTTGGATTATATCTAATTTTTTACAAGTCAATTCTAAAGAATGATTTTATTTAGGGACATTTCCAGAAATGTAACTAGAAGCAGAACTAATGTTCATCAGGTTGACTTTTAATAAAAGGCACATAAAAAATGACAGAAGCACTAAGGTTTGACATTTCAAAAACTCAGGTGTTTTACAGAATTATTGTTATTCTTTAAAAAATTTCCTCTGACATTCTAAATTTGAAAAGAAATTTAGTGTCGGTCTTATTTTAAGAAGAACAAGAACAAAAATAAAAGGCAACCAGACTCCAGTTTCACTATCAGAGCTTCAGGGTGTGCGTAAGGGAAACGGCCCACAGGTAAATGTGGGAGATAACTAATAGTTCAGTTAACAGATGCCTACCAAATCTAATTCTGAAATAAGTCATCCTCACAGAATTTTGAATACAAAGATAACACATCTTATTGTAAAGATAATGACACCTTTGTAGTCAATGATTTTAAAGCACATTAATAAACTTGCCAAATATAAATGAATTACAAAAACTAGCTATACTATCTTCCCAATGGCCTATTTGATTTCTTATAAGCCTGACTGCCAAATGCGCAATAGGTGTTTAATATACCAATCAACAGAATCTCCACCTAGCCAATAAATATATTAGAAATCCCTTATATATTTTATTTATGCATTCAGCTTTGTCTAAAAGGCATCTACAAATATGTGCACCGATGAATGAGATACAGTTAAAGAGCTTACTGGACCTGTGCCAACATGTACATAGTATTTGAAAACAATTCCTACATATTCTAAAAACTGTAACCCGAGCTATAACTAACATTCTTGATATTCCAAAAGATAACCCCATGGCATAGTGCCATTCTCATGAACTTTTAACAATATAAACCAAAATGGATTTTCAATTTAACTTTCCTTATAGAACTATTAGTTAGAGCACTATTTTCTTTGAGCTTTCAAACCTTTGGAGATGTTTCTGTAAATATTATTTAAAAATATCAAAATAAATTAATAATACTGATTCGCCTCAGTGATAACTGAATGAGATGAAGTGGAAATTATTAACCTAATAAAAGCAGGCAACTGCAATTCTTCCATAAATTCTCTTTTGAAGATTTCTGCATAGGAACAGAAGATGTGATTATAGGAGTCACTCAAATTTGATCCTTGCTAGTCACTCTGTATTTTCAAAGATTTTACAGAGAAGACTGAAAATAGTTTCGGAAAGTTCTGCATTCACAATCATAAGAACTGAGATATGACAACTACTAATATTACTCATGTGATGCAAAAATGTGTGTGCTCCACCACTGCCATTGCCACGGCAAGACACATTTGTCTATCCTTTTTTATTTTGCAGGGGAGGGTGCTATCATTACCTGTATTGTATGTCTGGTGCCATTCTGACTAAAATATCAGGCTGCTTATTACAACAGTTAATGTTAGATTTTCATTTTCCTCAAACATGTGTTTCCTCTGGCTACACATGTCTTTTACAGGATTTGTGGTTCTACTCCTTTCTTTCCCCCAGTGCTCAAAATCACTAATTTCTTAGACTCAAACCAAAGATGTTCCATCTATGGGATTTCCAAACAATCAGGAGGTAAACTCACAGTTTTTCAGAACAGCTAAGTGTGCTTAACATCTGTCTCTTCCTTCTACTTACACATGCCCCTGAGCTGTATGGAATCTGATTTTAAGAGGCTTTGAGCTTAACGGAGCTGTGCTTCAGGGCAGGGCACAGTAGCAACGGAGTTAGAGACTGCCTCTACCTGCTGCTACTGGCTCACTGTAAAACCTAACTTTCCAGGCAGAAATACATCAAAAAAGGGGTAACAACTGAACTCATCTTTCTCCCTCAGCTCCCATACCCAGCTAAATACTACCTTCTAATAATTTTTCTTTTGTTTCTCCATCACCCATCAATGTTTCTCAGCTACAGACTTTTGATAGCTGTGCCCGAACTCACACTTTCCTCCTTTACTCAAGCAAAGGTAATCATTAGAAAACACTAGTTGAGTCAAGCCAGTCTCCTACCTAATTCCCTTTATAAAGTCCAAATTTAATAACAAGACCTATTTCCTTCATAATTTTCTTCCTGCCAACTCTCAGACTCATTTCTCACACACTGACTGAACTCAGTTTCTCAGTGTGTCTCGCACACAACCTCATGCATGCTGTCCTCTCTGCCTCCCTCTTCTTTCTTCTCCTACCATCTTCAAATGGTTGACGCTTCCTGATTCTCTTGGTCTCAGTTTAGGCATTACTTTTTCCAGGAAATTTTGACCCACTAAATTCAGGTCAGTTGTTTTTCCTAAATATTCTCCTAGCACTTTGTGCTCTCGCTACTTATCACACTGCCTGTCCACAAGCCTCCTGTATCTATCGAAACCTCCATAGAGATAGGCATGTATCTGTATTCCTCCCATTCAAGGAGCCGCAGAACAGTGCCTACCACAGAAAAATCACCTATAGAGATACTTCATGAATAATCAATGGCCAGGAATGTTGTAAGTCTGTTTCTCAGTCATATTCATCACCAATGATTTTAAGGGGGAACACAAATGGACACACTTGATTCTCCTACAAATTTTCCAAACACTTTTAGACCAAGAATAGAATCAGGATAAAAATCTTCAGATATTAATGCCATTCTTAGTGTCTTCAGTAGAAAACAGTTTATCAAATGTACAACTGTGGATTAACATGATCTCAGTTAAAAACCCATTTCACAATGCTTTCTTTTAGTGTGTCACTATGTTTCACTACCCAGAGATGGATAAATATACTAGACAAGTTTCTTAATTTACAAAACAACAGATTATACTTATCTAGCATTTCTTAAGCCCCAGCCACTACACTAAATAGTTTTTGGAAAAAATTGCATGACAAAACCATGAAGTAGAGGTATTGTTAATCCTTCCCCTTTACTAATAATCTGAGACAAAATCTGAGCCAAATCTGACTCCAGAGATTATGATCTTAACCACAATGTCATCAATTTGGTAACCTATATGTCTGGTCTGCTATATGATAATTCAGGCAGGAAGAGAGTTCAAATCTAGACTCTGATACTCAGTTTCTATTAAAAGTGCATCTGAACACTTGCAGATCTTTCTGTAGGTTAAAAATGGTTAGAGATTTCATCTTGCATGCTAGCTCTGAAGCCTGGGATGATTTTCAGTGCTGCACTCACAGCAATAACTGGTTCCATGGAAGACTGCAGTAGTGAAGAAGGAATGCCACAGGCCAAGGAATGCCATTTTAGGTAACAGTTGATTCTGTTTCTGAGTATCGTACATCTATATCACATTGCACTACCAGAGAGCTACCTACTTTTTTACTGAAGTGGCCTTCTGAGAAACTATTTAGTAATATCCTTTAGTATTTAGTGGCAATACCTCTTTAATTGTCATATAAAGTCTTTTTTTTTTCATTTTTCTTTTATTATTCATATGTGCATACAAGGCTTGGTTCATTTCTCCCCCCTGCCCCCACCCCCTCCCTTACCACCCACTCCGCCAATCATATAAAGTCTTTACTTTTCCTGCCAAGCCAATACCTGTGCAGGTAGTTTAACGACCTTTTCATGAAGACTTCACAAGGCAAATTCCTTTTATATTTTTTCACATTTTCTTACTAGTAAAAGTGTTTTGGGGGGCTAGGCTGGGGCATGTAGCTCAGAGGTACAGCATTTGCGTGTGATACCTGAGGCCTTGGACTTGATTCCCAGCATAGCTATCAGCAATGACAATGAAAGAACACATTGTTTCCCTTTCTGCCTTCATTTAGGATCAACTATAGCATTCAATTATAACAATCATATTGGGTCAGATTTTAGGTACTTTTCCCTTTATTATTAGTTTAAATTTATAATTTCATTAGTCCAAGTATCATATAACAACATTTCAAATAATTCTGAAATTATATAGGACATAGATTATGATCAATTAAATGAATTCAGTCTTTATTTTGTTTTGGGACAAACTCAAGCATGATCTTACTTAGGGTGTTAGCAAATATTTTATTAATGTCAAATTTTTTTAATGGTCAGCATATCAAGTCTATTTAACACTGTAAAATACAATCATGAAATCAGTGATAATTAATAAACATGCAATGTCTTGTTTTACCTATGTATTTTATGTTTTACTAGATTTCTAGTAAGTAAACTGATCACTTAATGAATATTCTTATGAAGTCTCTATAAGCAGAAAAGTTTTATAGGCAGAAAAGTTTTAGAGAAGAATGAGAAAAGTACTAATTATCTCTGTGAAAACCCAAGAAAAAAACAGAACATGAAGTACTGAAGTGATGAGCCAATAATCAAATTCTCTCATGTTTTGATAGCTCAAAGAGATTCATGAAACACCTTTGGGAATCATGTAAGTTCCAAAGAAGCTAAGAAAATTAATTACTGGAAATGGTACAAAAGTGGTAGGATAGATTTCTAATAGCACCATAATTGTTATAGATTTTCCTGAACCCTGGGCAAAACACATGTTACAATATATATACAGGAACTTACAAACATGTACAGATATATACACAGTCCAGTGTCATTATGCAAATTAAATACAATTTGCTCAATTAGCTTTTCTAATATGAACTGAAGTGATAAAAAATTTTATAATTCAGGCACCTTTTGCCTCTAAATCCTTCACTCTAGACTTTTATAGAACTATTCATATATTTATATTATGTATTTCTGAAAATTCCATAGATTAAAAAATTCTATAAAAGTAGTTAGCTACATAATTTAAATCATCTCTAATGTTTAATGGTGAGAAAAACAGGAGCACTTGTAAGATTTAATCATGAATTGATTTTTAGAACTCAAGAAGAATAAAATCCATAATATAGATTCAGCTGATTAAATATGTATTACAAAAAGGCAAAACTGAAAAAAAACTTAATGGAAAACTATTCAGACAGAAATCTAGGGAAAAGAAATCAAAACATAAAACAAGATTCTAAAATCAAATGGCTTGAGATACACTTGTATCAATTACTCTAAGCCAGCATTTAAAGCACCTTAAGCAGACAGTTAAAAAAAAGCCTGAAAGACTTAGTAAATCCTTCCCCAGTTCTACAATGCACACAACGAATAAACTTAGCCTGAGAGAGCAGAATACAACAGCTGTTCCTAAGTGTATAAGAAAGGAGAAAAGATACAAATCATAAATAAAGAACTGCTTCAAACTTGTCTAAGAATACACACAATTTATTGGGAAAGTACTTAAAAGATCCTTATCATGGCAACTATTTTCTCCATCTATTTTCTCCAAGGACAAACAAAGTGTCCTGTTATAAAAATCAGGGCCATTGTTTTTGACCAATTAATTAGAAAATATATTCTGAGTACTAAGGATGAGAAAAGTTAGATATATGTGAATGAAGGTTGAAGAAGGCAAAACCAAAGAAAGGGAAAGATATAAAACTGTTGTATTACTTAAGAAAGATTTAGCTTATTATTAAAAAATCAAATATGACAAGTATTTAAAGTAATATAGTTCATTTTTCTAGCCTATTATGAGTATGACTTAAATATTATCACAGATATTTATAAAAAAATGAACAAAGTCAAAATATCCCTGGTGGTCTTACTAAACCATGTTAATTTTGTTTTTTGGTTAAATAACAAAGGAATAGAATTATGGATAGAATTCAGCAACAAGCTTTCCATAAGGATATAAAATCATGCCATGAGTTCAAAAAATGGGTTAGTTTATAAATTTGGGGAATAATCACTCATGCAAAAATCAGAAAATACCTGTACCGAGCCACCATGTCTGTCTGCTGCAAGGTGAGCTCTCAAATGGTGGGGATTTGCCTGCTGGGAGTCCCAAGCTGCCCTGTAGTCTGCCGACTGCCATTTATTTAATGCATGTGGCATGCATGGAAGAAGAAAAACCCAATATGTTAAACATCTCATCCTCATAATATATAAGACAAATGTATAATAGGAAATTTAAAACCCTTACTATTCTAATAATAACTAATTACAGGTGCAATTATCTTTGCACACAAAATGTGGACAGATTTCAGTTAAATTGCTGAATTGTATAATGATCAACAATAAAAATAAAATACAGTCATAAAGTTTGAGAAATAAAAGGATTTTAGAGGTCACTTTATAAATGAAGTTAACAAAGAACCAAGAAGTAAAAATGACATGCCCAAGAAAGCACTTCAAATCAATAAGCAGGTGCCAAAAGACCAGCCACTGTATTTTCTTACAGTAAAAGTCCCTATTGGTCTTCTTGGGAGAAGCTATTTTTAACAATGTAAAAAGATACTCCTTAAAAATGTTCTCTCTTGTTTAGTACTGTTTCTGATTATAAGGATAATAGGAGAAACAGAAAAGTTCTCTGAAAAGCGAAGAGCACTACATAGAATACTAAGGGAATACGACAAAACAAACTTTTTTTTTAAAGAGACAATTCTACATATATGAATTTCTTTGCTTCCTTTATTAAAAAAAATCTGGTTGAAATTAATAAGCCTACTTCTATGAAACATGCTGAAAATTCTTGATATTTTAGACCCCTGGCAAATCCCTATGACAATAAGCACAAACTGATAAGAGCCTATTAGTAGAATTAGAATAGTTACTTTTTTTAAAAAGAGTACTTTCTTAATAGGAGTCAATTTCTACATTTCAGGAAATGTGGACAGCACCAATAAAAAGAAGGGAAAGAATACACTATTTTAGTTCTGAAATGTTTGGTTCTACATTACCTACTTTATATCTGTTAGCACATATGAGACAGACATATCATCCCCATTTGACTGATGAAGACAATGAGACATTGAATACTTAACTTCCCTAAGGTCTCAGAGCTAACAAGAAGTACAGCAGGAGCTCAGAATCAATCACTCTTTCAATAACACGACCTGGCTCCTTACAACAATTACATATATTCTAAATTTTTCAGTTCCATTTTCTTTCTTTTTCATCTAAAGTCAAAAGTATCTTACCACAAAGTACCAAGTACATTGGGCTAGAAAAGCCCAAGCACATAGGTAACCAGAACAACCTTTTAGGGGAGAGTCATTAAATTCAAGTAGAAGACATGAATAAATGTTCTGGCACTCAGCTTCCTAAACCAAATGCAAAATTATATTCTGTGTGGTATGAAATATGTCATCAAAACAATTAGGATGGTTGTATGATGTCTTTTCATTATAGCTTATGTTGAAATAAATTAGATGAATTTAAATCTAAACAAAATGAAAATGATGTTAAAACTGAGACAACAGGTAACATTTTGGGGTCATAGAACTCTAAGAATGTAATAAAAATTATGCAGCTTCTCTTCAAGATAACAATTACACACACCTAAGACTTTATACACAACTATAGAATCCCTTGAACATTAAACATTTACTCTAGGTTATCAATTACAAAGCTTTCAAACTTTTGAATGAATTAACTTTTCTGCCTTTGACATTGTGAGCTAAGGGTTTATAAGAACAATTTTTTTCTAGATATAGAACTGTTCTGTAATAATGACAATCTATATATTTAGGGCTCAACTTCAATATATAAGCTTATCCTAAAGAATTTACTAAAAATTTATATAAACTATATATGTGTGTATATATACACATATATGAAATCTCTCTAGATTAAATACAATAAGGACTGCACAAATATAGTTCCTACCCTCAGTGAGCTTACAATCTAACAATCTTTAATCTGTACAAAGTTAAGCCTAAAATATTTACACTACAGTTAAATTCAATAGTGAACGAAGGTTTCACTTATTAAAAGACTTAACTGTTTAAGTGGAGAAAAATCTGTTATCTCTGAAACTGACTTTCTGATCCAAGAAAACCAGACTGCTTAGTTTATGATTTTTTTCAACTGTTCTCTATCCCCAAAATACACTTACTCCATTATTTGCCTTTAAAAATTCTACTCATTCTTCAGATTCATCTGAAAAGCCACCTTTCTCCATAAAGTCTTTACAAGATCCACAAGTATTTACATATACCCTCCATGACACTTTGTTAATATGTTCCATGGGATAAAGCTTATTCTGCTTTGAAGTGTAGCTATTTGTACACTTACTTACAATAATCATAACAGTAACAGCAACTGCAGGAGTTGAGACTTACAAGAAGCTAATGTTAGGAATTAAACATGCATTGTTGAGGAAACTAGAGCTTTGAGAGGTTAATTAATTTGTCCAAGGCCAATCCACATCCATGTATGTGTGATTCCAGAGACTGAGTGAGCTCTTAACTAAATACTGTTTTAAGTCACTCATTACAAAATTATTTTTTATAGATTATACCATCCTCCTTACTTCTGTGTTTCTAAAGAAATGCACAGAAAATAGCAGAAACTCAGTAAATAATTTCTCGAACTAACCCAGGTAACAGAAAGATCAAGTGCTATTATAATTTATTCATGTAGAATATCCAAATACTTCCATACTAATAGAATATCAAATGTTAAAAAAGTTTACCATTACTTAGGAATTCGCAATGAAACATTTTAATGTTATTTTTAAACTAACAGTAAAAATAATGACAAACAGGTTATCTACTGAAAATACAAGTATTTTCAACCCTTCCATATATGTATGTAAAATGTTTTAATCATTGAAGAAAAAAGTATGCATTTCAATATTGAAGCAAATTAAGACATTTGATATTGAAAAAGGGGCATCAAACCTGGTTTTTGGATTGCTGCATCTTATCTCTGTGTTGGTGTGCATCTCTGTTTGATGATAAAGCTGGATCTTGTTGAACTGCACCCACTGGAGTAGGCTACAACACAGTAACAATTGCTATCGATACATTTTACTTCAGAAATCTCATTTAAAATCATTTCATGTGCTTAAAAGGATCAAGGAAAAAATAAGACTGCTAAATAAATTAAGGCTTCAAGAAGCAATATTATACTTAAAATATGTTATTAGGCCAGGCCTATACAGACCAATAATCCTAGCTACTTAGGAAGCTGAGATTGCAAGAATTGTGATTCTAGGCCAATCCACACAAAAAGTTAGTGAGACCCCATCTCAACCAATAGTTGGCATAGTGGCGTACACCTGTCATCCAAACCATCCTTCTCCATACAGGAGGCTGAGATCAGGATTTCAATTCAGGCCAGCCTAGGCAAAAAGGTTTGTGAGACCCGATCTAAATGGAAAAAAGCTGGGTGTGGTGGCACATGCCTGTCATCTCAGCTATAGCAAAAAGTGTAAAATAGGAGGACTGCTATCCAGGCTGACCTGGGCAAAAAAGTAAGACCAAAATAACCAGAACAAAAAGGGGGATGGAGGCATGTCTCAAGCAGTAGAATGCCATCCTAGCAAGCATGAAGTCCTGAGTTCAAACCTCAGTACTGCCAAAAGAAGAAAAGGAATTAAGTTGTTAAAATTAACAAATAAAGCAAAGAGAAATAGCTACTTTTTAAAATTGGTTTTAGGCCAAGCACAGTGGCTCAAGCCTGTAATCCTAGCTATGTCGGAGGCTAAAATCAGGAGGATCACAGTTCAAGGCAAGCCAGAGCAAAAAAGCTCACGAGACCCCCCATCTCAACCAGTGACTAAGTGCAGTGGTGCACATCTGTCATACTAGCTACATGGGGAAGCACAAATAGGAAGATACTGGTCCTAGCCAGCCTGGGCACAAAGTGAGACCCTATCTTAAAAATAGCAAACAAAGAAAGAGCTGGCAGAGTGGTACAACTAGTACAGTGCCTGACTAGCAAGCACTGCCCCCAAAAAGGTTTTAAAACATGTAAATATTTTTAGACATTCCCTTTTTATGTCTACAAAAAGACTTATAATGTTCTTGTTACTTTTAGGTTACTTTTTCATATCAAAAATGAAAATGGCCAGGCGCCAATGGCTCGTGCCTATAATCCTAGCTACTCAGGAGGCAGAGATCAGGAGGATCGCAGTTCAAAGCCAGCCTGGGCAAGTTTGCTAGACCCTATCTCGAAAAAAACAATCACAAAAAAGGGCTGGCAGTGGCTCAAGGTATAGGCCAGCCCTGAGTTCAAGCCCCAGTACTGCAAAAAAAAAAAGAAAAAAAAATTTTAAAAATGAAAATGTATTTTCTTACATCTCTTATTTTTGAAACTGATGTATGAATAGAATAAGTTATTTTAATAAAATTAAAGGAATAATCTTTAAAAATAAACTAACAAAATGACTTATTTTTAATACTATACTCAAGAGAAAAGGCTTATAAAAATCCCTAATTTTCATTAAAGTATTACATATTAAAGTAATCAATAGAATATTACATAAAAATAGCATACTTGCTATTAAGAACCAATCAGGATGAGAAGTCCAAAAGAACAAATGCTCCAGAAGGAAGAAAATCCGAGTTTTTGCAAAACTTTAAAATACTATGATGCCATCTGAAGAAAACATCCCAAAATAAGAAATACCTAATCCTTTAAAAGTATTAGTTCTCAACTCTTTTCAATTGGAGGATCTACATTGTCAAAAAGAAAATAAATACTATAATCAATCTTTTATTACATAGCATACTCACCAACTGTTTACCAATCCAGTCATATTCATAATCAAACAGATATCCTTTTCGATCAAATAAGTCAGTAAAAATCTTCCTTAGATAATCATAGTCTGGCTTTTCAAAAAAATCTAGCCTTCTTACATAACGAAGATACGTTGCCATTTCTTCTAGAAAGGAAATAAGAATTATTTTGAGAACATTTCCCTATGTTACTCAATAATAAAATACTAAATGTCTAAAAGCACGAGGTACAATAACATGAAAAAGTATCAAACTACTTGAATTTAAATTTTCTGAGTTCAATTACAACAAAATAAAAAGGAGAAAATAAAGAAGGAAAGGAAATAAGGGAAAAAGAAAAGTGAGATGTTTAACCATTATTTTTTCTGTTTGTTAGTGAAGGCAAAAAGTCTTATCATGTAACATTATTGTAACAGACATCTTGAATTGTATTAGAGGTTGAATCATCAGCTTAATGATGCATGATCATTTTATCACAAAGCATCATACTCAATTCATAACTCTTATAAAGTATTTAAAATGTTGGTGGAAATTGACTTATACGACTAGCATTTGTACTAGCTTACTGGATTTCCTTCAGAACCAGCAACATATACTAACTTACCATACAGGATTCAAATTTCTAACCTTGGCTATGAGCATTATTTTAACCAACAGAGCTTGCAAAATATAGCTATAACAGTTCTCAAAAATGTAACACAGGAACATGGTAGAAGCCTTCTCTTAATTTCTGGTCAAATAATTAATAATTATTTGGTAATATACAAATCTTCACATACCATTATAACCCCCAAATGTATTAGATGTATCTATTTTTTAAAAGGTCATACTTTTGAGAAAGAAAAAAAAAGCAAATACCAATTGGCAAAATTGTGAGTAATAGGTGAAAAAAAAATAGTATTCCTCCAGCAGGACACAATAAGTGACTACAGAGAGCTGGTAGATACCTCTGACATTAAAACATAGCTGCTTTTCTATTCCAATTCATTCACAGATAGCCAGTGAGCAAAGAGTTATGCACTGCCCAACAGGCAGCAACAGTGGTACCCAGCGACCTTCCTCACATACTATTCCACTTTCTGGCCAACCACCCTATTAATTTACTTTGGCACTTCCACTTTCCTGCAGAATTTTACATAGGGTTCTTACTCAAAGCCAGCCAATCTGCCTATACCTAAAATGCTAATAATATGAACCAATATCTGTTTAGTCTTCCATTTGTAGATGTCTCAAGAAAAACATATAGTTAAAGATCTCTGACAGTGAATAATATGCACTTTACAAAATGCGACCTCAGATTGTACTAGTGTTATTATTATAATAGTGGCAGCGGCATAATACAGAAGAACCAGTGAATGCTGAAGTGAAACAGGAACTCAATGTCATCTTGTCACTTAATGTTGCTGCACAAATTACAGCATTAATACATCAACAACAAAACATTCTTACTCTTCAATTGATTTGGAAACTTTAAGTAAATTTTGTTTTGGTTTTACTGGCGTCTGAACTTAGGGCCCTGTGCTTATTAGGCAGGCCCTCCACCACTTGAGCCGTGGCCCCAGCCCTTTCTTGCTATAGTTATTTTTCAGACAGGATCTTGTTTTTTGCTCATGCCTCCTCCAATAACCATCCTCCTAACTATGCCTCCCATGGAGCTGGGATCACAGGTGCACACTACCATGTCTAGCTTGTTTGTTGAGATGGGTGGGGGGGTCTCACTAACTTTTTGCTTAGAATGGCCTTGAATCATGATCCTCCTGAACACCACCTCCCAAGTAGCTGGGATTACAGATGTTCCCCACCATGCCCAGCCCCTTAAGTAAGTTATTGTTGGTTTACTTAAAAGTTGCCATAAGTGTACATGAAAACAAAATTGTTTTCATACATACACACAGCTCTTCAGTATAAAATTAGCCTAAATTAGTAAGGTCAGAAAGATTTTGCTATACTTTGAAAACTAAACTAAACAATACTTTGAACCTCCTCTTTTGAAGCTGACATTGTACTAAACTTGATAGTTACTGTTCTTTAGCAGGTATTTGCACTTATTAAAAATATCTCATTGGGCCAGGAATGGTGTTACACCTCTGTAATCCCAACTATATGGAGGTAGAGATGGGAGGATAATGGTTAAGGCCAGCCCAGGGAAAAAAGCACAAGCCAGGAGTGGTGGCTCATGCCTGTAATCCCAGCACACAGGAGTGGAAGTAGGAGGATGGCAGTCTATGGCCTCAGACAAAAGTGCAAGATCCTACCTAAAAAATAAATGAAAGCAGAAATGGTTGGGGGTATGGCTCAAGAGATAGAGTACTTGCTTAGCAAGTGCAAGCCCAAAAAGGTCAAACCTCAGCACAGAGTTAAAAAAAAAAAAAAGCCATTTAAGAAAATACTCCTTCAGCTGGCATTGGTTAACATTATTAAAAGATAGAACTTTGTTCTACTAATATCACCTTAGAAAGCAAATATGCAAACTGTTCCTGTAGTTCATGCTTCAACTTTTAAGTCACATTTTTAAATGGTTACTGTTTTTTGTTTTTTAAGTACTGGGGCTTGAACTCAGCGTTTCATGCTTGCTAAGCAAGCATTCTACCACTTGAGCCGTGCCTCCAGCTCTTATTGCTCTGGCTATTTTTGTGATAGGGTCTTGCTTTTTGCCAAGGTGGGACTGCACCGCAACCCTCCCATTTATGCTTCCCACAGTAGCTGAGATAACAGGTGTGTACTACCGCGCCCAGCCTTTTCCACTGAGATGGGATCCCATTAAACTCTTGGCCTAGGATGCTGGCTTTGACCCAGATCCTCCCCATCTCTGTCTCCCAAGTGGCTTAAGCCCCTGCACCTGGCCAGTGTTCACTTATTTTAAAGCATGAAAAAATTTATGAAGTTGACCAATGAAAATTAGCAATATGTTTTTCTGACATAAACACAGTCAGCAATTTGGCATTATTTGTTACCTGGAAAATTTTCACATAACACTTCTATTGGTGTAGCTCGTTTTGTATCTCCAATTTTCTGATACCTCTCTTTTAATGTGTCAGCCTAAAATGGGAAAAGAAAACCCTGAGAATGCAGTAATTTTAAAATTATTTAGTCAGAACAGAGGACCTTAATACATATTAAGATTTTATGAAATTAAATAAGTAAACACAAAAACAATTACCTTTAAGCCTTGCCAAGGAAGACTGCCTCTCAGAAAGTACATGAACATATGACCTAAAGCTTCTAAATCATCTCTTCTACTTTGTTCTAAAATAGAAGAAAAACATAAATTTCACTTTTCTCTATCAGTTAAAGATGGAAAAACGGACAACTGATTATTCTGTTAAGTATAAATTAATTTCCAAAACTTTAATATATAAATACAAATACAGAGCTCATGCCTATAAGTAAGATCCCGACTATACTATATTTTTACATATTATTGTGCAGGTATAAAATATGCCATTATGGTCACTTGAATGCTGCTGCAGACTTATCTATTCGCTTAGACATCTATTCATGGAAATTCAGGCAAAGAGAAAAAGGGTTCCATGGTCAAATAGAGTCACTGTGTACTATAACTCCATCTGAAAAAGATTCAGAACATAACATATGAAAGGTTCCGAAAAACCCAGAGTTAAAATGTTTAACTTTATTTACTGCTGCATTTTCTAAGCTTACATAAGCACAAACCTTCCAACTCACAGACTCTCCATTAACAGTAAACACGATTAGTATTATATTTTAAGAAACACCCAGGCTTGATGTAAACCAACATTAGTAACCCTTCCACTATCACCACCACCAACAAAAAGCTGCTAGAACATCTGTCATTTTCAAGTTGTTTCTGTTTTACTAACAAAATGTTATATAGCATATAAATGACTAAATCACCGATTAAGTAAGGCTCATTATTTGCTAATAATGATATTTCAATTTTTTTCACAGAAGTTAAATTCAGATTTCTTAATGTTTTAAAATAATTCAAAAATGCTAGCTAACAATGAGAGAAAAAATAATATTTTAATATGAGATGTTTGCATGCAGGATATTTTATTGAAATGAAAAACATCACATCTAAACACTAGATACTTCCAGAAAAGCAAACTTTTCAAAGGTATGTATCTGAACTAGGGTGAAAGGTGAGAAACATTTTAATTTTTACCAAGACCCTCCTAACATTTGTACTTGTCTTCTATAACATTTGCCATGGTTTAAAGATACATGTTTGTGTTAGACTTAATCAATATCCTTTCACAAGACTGCAAGGTGCAGAAGAACTGATGCCTCTTGCTCATTATCCTTACGATCAAGTATAACAGCAGGTACAGTAAGGGCTCTGTGTTCTCAGGTTCTGGGAGTCTTAAAAATAAAAAGTCACACAAAAAAAGAATTACTTTTGAACTATGGCTGAGAATTAGAATCATCTCTGAGCTTTTCAAAAACTCAGGTGACAGTACAATAATAATATGATAATATAAAAATGGATGGAAACTACAAAGAAAAAAACCTCAGATGAGGCCTACTGCTGGTTACTGATTCCTTGGATATGAAGTAGAGGCCTGGGCATTTTTACAGCTTAGTAGATAATAATGATGTACAGCTAGGTTTCATAACCACTGAAAAAGGAAATTTCTTTCACTGAAGCATAATTTACCTATAATAAAATACACCAACAAAGAGTAAAATTTGGTAAATTTTGACAACATACCTGCCTACCTACCACCCCAATTAAGAAGCATTTCTAACACTCCAAACAGTCCTAGCTGTTAATCTCCCTTTCTACCTACAACCCCTAGCCTCAAGCTACTACTACTTATCTGCTTTTGTCACTATAGCTTAGATTTTGGTTTTTATAGTGTTTCCTATGAATGAAGTCATAGAGCATAGGCTCATATCTGAATTCCTTCACTCAGTATGTTTCCATGATGTATCCATGCTGATCCACATATCAGTGTTTTTATAGCTGAATAGTGTAACACAATATACTTACCTATTCACCTACTGATGGACACTTGAATAGCTTCCAGTTTGGGGCTACTATGGGGGCACAGCTATTATGAGCATTCTTATACAAGTCTTTTGTGGATATACATTTTCATTTCTCTTGGGTAAATATAGGGAGTGACATCATATAGTAAGTATAAAAGGGGCTGTGCCACATTTCATATTTCCACCAGCAATGTATGAGAGTTCTCAAAGCCTGTCCAACATCCAGTATTTTTGATCTTTTTAATTTTAGCCAAGATAATAGCTATGAAATGTTAAGCTTACTGTGACTTAAGTTATATTTCATTGATGACTAATGTTGAACATCTTTTCAAGTGTTATGCATCTTATTTTGTGCAGTGTTTGTTCAAATACTTAGCCCATTTTTAAAAACCGGGTATCTGTCATAAAGTTGTAAGAGATACTAGTATATTCTAGATACAAGCCATTTTCAGGTAATAAATTTTGCAGATTATCCCTCTGACACCTTAGCTTACTTTTATTGTCACCATTTTTTTAACAGCATCTTTAAAAGAAGTTTTATACTCTGATGAAGTCCTAAGGTATCAGTTCTTTTTTCTTATTGTCTACACTTTCTATGTCTGATCTAGGAAATCTCTAACTACCCTCAAAATTGCAAAGATTGTCTTCTATTTTTTCCTCTGTAAGTTTTATATTTTATAATTTATAAATTATAAATTTATAATTTGCTTCTTACATTTAGATTTATTTTTGCTTCTGGTGGGGGATAAAATTTATATTCATTTTTTCCAATACTGATATCTAGTTATTCTCATACTGTTCCTTGACAAGACTACCTTTTCTCCTTGAATTGCTTTTACATTATTCTCAAAAAGTAATTTACCATCTATGGCCTATTTCTGGACTTTATATTGTCACCCACTTATCTTAAGTCTATCTTCATGACAATAACCCCCAAAATAACTAAAAGAAAGGAGAAAATAATGATATATGAGGAAATAATGATATATGAGGAAATTAATGATCAGAAAACAGAAAATAATGATATATTAGGAAACAAATGGTCAGAAAACAGAAAACCGATAGAAAAACCAAATGAAAACAACAGCTAATTATTTGAAAGCTTCAATAAAAATCACTAATCCTCTTGCTAAGCTAAAAGAAAGCATAAATTGCCAATAAACAGGAGCAACAGAGGGAACAACAGAACAGATCCTATAGACATCAAAAGAACAATAAAAATAATTTTATGAATCAAAATTATACCAATTCAACAATCAAGACAAAATGGACAAATACTTTAAAAGCTACTAATTGTCAAAACTACCTCAACAAGATGTGAATACTTCTACCATCAATTAAAGAAATTTAATTTAAATTTTTCCTCAAATATAATATAAAGCCTAGATGGCATCACTGCTGAATTCTATTAAACAGTTAAGGAATAATATCAATTCTGCACACACTTAGAAAAGTTCCCATCTTACCACATTATTGCCAAAACAAAAGCAATATTATATAGCAGAAACTACAGGAAATATCCCTTAGAAACAGACACAAAATCCTTAAAAAGGCAACACATTATAAGTAAGTTATTCTTGAATGCTTAACTGTGAAAATCCAATCAATATTTCATCAGATTAAGAGGATTTTAAAAATATACAAACCTATGATTATCTCAGATAAACAAAAAGCACTTGACAAAATCCAACACACATTCATCATAAAATCTCTTAGCAAATCAGCAATAAAAAAAATTCGTGTTTATCCTAACAAAGGACAACCATGAAAGACCCACAATTAACATAATTCTTAAATAGTGAAAGACACCACTAAGATCAGGATCAAAACAAAGATGTCTACCCTCATCCTGTCTATTCAGTATTATATGAAAAGTTCCTGCCAGTATAAAAAGGGTAGGAAAACAACATTAAAAAGTATTTAGATCAGAGAGGAAAAAGTAAAACTATTTTTTCTTTTCAGACAACATGATTATGTAATGTAAAAGCTTTTAAGTAATCTACAAAATACGTAGAACTAGTCAGTTTTATCAAGGCTACAAGATAAAACATCAACATATAAGAATCATCCAGATTTCATACAAGCACTGAACAATAGGAAATTGAATTTAAAAACCAACACCTTGAAACCCCCTTGTACTATGAATATATCCTAATTAAAAAAATAAAAACCAACACCTTTACAATAGTATCAAATACAAGAAACATGTAGAGATAAATTTATCCATACAGGCAAGACCTATATATTATAGCATATACCTTAAAAGACTTAAAAAATATATTAAAATATACTGAGCCCTACAGTAGAATTCTTTGTTAGAAAAGAAACTCAGTATAAAAGGTAATTCCTATTTGAATTCTAGCCAACGGGGACTTCAGTTACCATCTGTCAACAAATAATGACCATACAGTGATCTCACCCATATGGATCTAACAGATACAGTATTCATCTTATAACCCACACATTTAAAAATCCAAGCCATAAATGTAAGCTAGTAAAATAAACCCACTACTGAAATTTAATCCAAAATACTATTTACCCTCATAATTCTTTTCCTTGTGTTCTTTTACCAACACATCTGAAAATAAATTTTTCTATGCAGTAAGTTAATAGAAGAAATAGGAAGGTTTTCTTTTTGAAACACAGTAACCAAGAACATACCCTCAGGTCTTTATATTTCCCTCTAAAATAATTTAAGTCACTTTCCCTGGTACCCCACAAAACCAGAAAGACATCTACAAAATTCATTGAGCTCAGATTTTTTAATCACATAATAAAGATAAGCTTTTCTTAAATGGCAATATAAAGCTAAAAGGGAAAGGAAAAAAAAAAAACAATTATGCAAGACACACTACAACAGCACACCAATCCACATACCTAATCTAGCAATACCAAGAAAACTTAGAAAGTAGAGAGAGTTTTCTGAGTGACAGAATCCAGTATGTTCATTCACTTAATTTCTAAAGAACGTCTCTTCAAATTTAGTTCTCTTGAATTAGATATTAAGTTTAGCTTCCACATTAAGGAAAACAAATCAAAACAAGAGAAAGCAAAATGCTGCCAGAAGTGTATGTATGTGTGTGTATGTTAAACATAAAAAGGCAAGAGAAAATATGGGTTGAAACTCAAAAACAAAAAACACAAAAGGTAATCTATTAAAAACAAAAATAGCATTTTCTCTAAGCTTACTGACATAAATATACCCTAACATTCTCTAACAGATCTCAAGAGCGTTACTATAAAAAGCAATAGTAATCACACAAACTGGGGGGGGG